GATATGAAGCTATATTTTCATGGGTAGCTAGAGGTCTATAAAGTTTCAACCATTTAACAGTGATCACTTGATACTGACAATGATCAGAGTTTTATCTTGAAATCTCCATGTAGCAAACAAAATAATAATGGAAATGGTAGTAAACTACACAACCATTATCGTGCCACACTGTAAACAAGGCTAGTTATATATACAAAGGCAACCTAAACCTACTTGTTCTCGTGTCAAGCGGAATGAACCATCATCACCCTTAACTATGACCAAATGAACAAAAGCAGCACTCAGAATATAGCAGCTCAACTGCTTGATCATGCATATTGATTCCTTATACTAACGGTTGATGTTAAAAGATTAAATTAACACTAATTAATAAATTTAGGAGGTCAAGTTGCTGAGTTATTGTATCTCTAAGGAATTTTCTGCGACTGGCCTTTAATGTTGAATGCAGTTATGAACAATTTAGACCAAAATAAAAATATGTAATTCAAAGAGATGGTGAAAAACTCTTCTAATGTTGTGAAGATTATCATGTCTAGCAGTAGCAACGGAGAGTCAGATCGAAAAGGTATATAATCTTAATTATTCAAAGAATAAGAAAAATATAATGTATTTATTAGGCAAAATATTGCAAAAGTGACCATTTGTTTACATATATTATATACTGAATAAACTCTCTCTATACACAACCAATTGTTGTTGGCAAAATGGAAGGTCATGGGATTTTTGTTCTTGCACTTGTCCATCTTCATTCCATTTCACCAGCAAAGCAGCGGGATTATTTCCAAATATATCACCAGATTCAAGTATAGCATAGTGAAGCATATTTTGTTATTTTGTTATTAATCTTTCTATTATTATTGATTCACTATGCTATACAAAATATCACCAGATCCAACTAACATTATTTTGTTATTTTCTAAAAAATTGTATTGATAGATGAAAAGATAAACATCGGAAGAGTGTTATTAAAGTTCTTTAGGATTGCTTAAAAAAAAATTGTTCAACATATTTTTTGTTATATGAATTTCACAAAATTTGAAATATATTGATAAATTTTGATGACTTACACTGTATTTAAGTTTTGTTTAAAACACTACTTTTTATTTATCTATTTTTTACTATTTGATTTTATTTCTAAATATTTTTTAAATGATTTTTCCAATTTATTAAATCTTATAATAAGTCATAATACTTTGCTTCCCGTGAATAAACAGAAATAATGGTTTCAAAATAATTGGGCAAGTTTTTTGTTTAGATTGGAGATTTTAGTAGTAAAGATGATTTATTTTCTTTTCCTCGCTTTTTTGGCTCCTCTCAATTTTTTTAATAAATATGTTAAAGTTTAAATCTCGTATAATAAATCTGCTTCACATAGTCCCTCAAACAAATGATAGTTTGTTTTTGCTAAAAATTCTAAGTTCGTCCTAGCAAATGCAATTCCAGAATTAAGACTATTTAATCTTAAACAGTTCAAATTGTGAAAATGTTGAAAAGAATTATATATATTTAATTTATCTTTTTGAAGTACAAGTATTTCATTTTAAATATAATTGGATATATTAAGTTATCAAATATCACTCCATACGTTTTTAGTCATTTCAAATTTTATAATTGTTTTTATATATGATTCTTTCTTTCCTTTATAACGTAAGATGAGATTAATGAGATGAGTTTGACAATTTAATTTAATTTTCTCATTAGTCAAAGATAAGGTAGCATAAGAAATATTTCGAGTAAAAATAAATTAATTTTTAAAATGTGTATTAACAAAAACTAACTTGTAAGTGAATCTGGTTTAATAATGTAACATGATGAAACAAATAAAAATGTAGTAAAATTTAAAATCATGCAATAATTATTACAACATCCAACAGTTATTTGTATTACTAACGGGATAATGAAAAAATTCATTAACTTAGTCAAAAAAAAAATTATTCAGAACTCTTAAGAAAAAAAAAATAAAGAAGGTTAAGAAGTTGGAAATCAAAACATATGGACCGAGCCTGAGAAGAAGGCATCCAATTATATTTATAAATGAATCCTTTTACTTGATAAATATAGATTAAATTGATAAATCGCTTGAGATCATGACAATTTGAACTTTTCATAGGTTTTCATAGTCTTTAAAATAAAATTGTATTCTCTGCTACAAATGTGGATTTGTAGTAAGAGAAAATCAACTAACATTTATTTGATGGAGTATATAAAATATATATGTATATGTTTCGAGAGATTTCGTATATTCAACAGAAAGGATGATGTGGGTATTTGAAGCTGTTATATAAAACTCGATATAAACTGAATGGCAAACATGGTTGGCAGAATGACATCATTGTTATTTGTTGCTTCCCCTATAATTTTTATACAATATTGTTTGATTAATTACATTTCTTTCATTCGTTAAAAAATGTGAATTACTGTCAATTAGGTATGATTTGGGGCAAACTTCGCTTGTACAGAATATTATTTAGTTAGATTCTCTGCGGATGAGACATTCATTTCTTTTGTTACTTACATTCATGCTTGATCTCTAAAACTTACAAGTTTGCATCTCGTGCTGTAGAGAGTTTCAATGTTAAAAATTTTCAAGGAAAGAAGAACTAGGGCATTTGCAAAACTTAAAGGCAAGACCCCCGACCCTCAAATTGCACCCACGATTTACTCTCCTCAAATCTTGATTCACTTGCTGCAACAACATCCTCCTCCACCTTTCTAGACCCACTCACCTATGAAACTTGTGGTTGCTAGATTTTAAGGGTAAGGGTTGCACAACTTTGTGCATTTCTTCAGTATGGGCTGTTATTCAGATTTAGGTTTATTATTCATCCTACACCTATAAATATATATATCACTCAACTTTCTTCTAAAACACATACTTCACTTATTTTATGTTCTTTCTTTTTTTCCATTCTTTTTATATTAGGTTTATTTACTCTTTTAAGAGTCACATACTTACTAGATTATTTGAGTTTTTAAAAAATTCGAGAAAATTTCTATAATATTTTGGAGGACTTGGGGAGTACACTATAAATAGATCTCTATGGAATTGATTTCCTTACCTCAAAAATAAAGTTTTATTCATGTTTTAGTTAGCATTTACAACACTTCGGAGGCATCTTCACACCATTTCACTAATATTCATGCCAAAATCAAAACAAGCTCAAACAGCGATGAAAGCACACATATACATATTTGTATCTAATGAATAAAGATGTTTGTATTTGTAACTGTCAATCTGTCTTAATAAATGAGTATGTTTATGCCTCAAAATGTTTCAGACTACTTATTCCACACGCAAATACCTTTGATACCTTTCTTTGGTCCTTTGCAAGCTTCCTTCAGTGACTGTTTGATCCCGAAGATGAATGCTTGAGTTATAATTTGAAAATTATATAAACATATATTGTATGTAGGTTTAGGTCTGACCCTTGGTTTTACACTTATGTCTGATACTGAACTTAATGCTTGAAGATACACTTAGGGATGCAGGTTGTTCATTGCTCGAATCTTGCTTGTTTTCCTGAAGGTTTGAAATTGGAAAAACGAGGAACTGAAGAATTAGTATATTTTACTTACATATTCTGGTATAATTACAATTGTACATTTCTTTGGACTGAATCAATTTCCATTATACAACCATTTTGACAACTCTTTTTTTTTTACAAAATTAACTATAATACTCATTATTTGGAATGTAATTGTGATTAGGGACTGTAAAATCATGAAAAAAAAAAAAATCCAAATAGGATCTTCAAATCGGTAATTCTCGCATACAGGTACTCCTTTTGATGAGAACAAGATTTCGCATAGAGAAGTATGATTATGATCGAAGCTTGAGAAAAATTGGATGAAGAGGGATTGATCTTACACAATACTAAAGAATTATTGAAAACCTTTTTGAGGAATGTTAATCAAGTTAAAAAATTAGTTAATTCTTTTTTTTTTTTAATTTTTTTATATATTGTTATATATATGTACATATCTACTCATAAGTATTACACAAATTAATATTATTATTATTATTCTTGTCTTATTTTTATCTATTTTTTATTTTTTATTTTTTTCTGTACGATAAATTAATGTATTGTTATATTATTGGAATTAAGATGACAAATGTGAATTACTGTAAATTAGGCATGGATTGGGCAAACTTTGCTTGTATAAGAACATAATATTGTTTAATTGGATTTTCTCCTGGAAGAGGCATTCATGCTTAATCTCTAACAAGTTTGCATCTCGTGCTGTGGAGAGTTTCAGTGTTAAAAATTTTTTGGGAAATAACTTCGGAAGCATCTTCACACCATTCCACTATTATTTGGGATCAAAGATAACTCAAATAAGCGTTGTAAAACAAAAAGCAATAAGGTGTATTGTTATATGAAAGAAACCACACTTATGTATCTAATTTGTATTTGGGATGTGACTTCTTTGTATAATTAATCTCATTTTCGTATATCATTTTTTCTCATTCAGTGTAATTCTTACTCAAGCAGATTTTCTAATGTAGTACAATTCAAATTTGTACTGTGCCTTGGGAAGTTCAGAAACTTAAACGTTTGTATAAAAAGATGTAGCTCTTTATTAAAATGTCAAAAGATATGTTTCATTTTCAAAGAACCAGTGCATAATCGAAAAAGGACTCAAAAGTGAGAGGAAAAGTAACTACAATTGTCATATGCTACAAAAAATAAAATCCAATGTAATGATGTAGAATTAATATCCAAATATAACTATGCCAAATGATAAGATAATGCAAAAGATTGAATTTTTATCAGTATGTAAGATATGGTTAAACTAAACATCTATATTTTCTCTACAACCAAAGTTGCTGAAAACTTTATTAGCTTTACGTTTGTGGTCAACCTGTCCATCAAGTCGTATAAGATTAAATATCTCTATAATCTTAAAAGCAAATGTATTTAAGAATATGTCTAAAAAACTTGATCTTTATTTTCTTTTATTAATATCAATGAAACAATAAAATTCCAAAGCCACACATATCAAAAGTCAAAATCATCCTGATTAGGCTTTGGTGAGGTTAACAAAGCAGTGTAGAGACGAAGCCTATCCTCTCCCATGGAAGAGGACCTTGACAAGGGTCTCCTAGGCCTTATAAAGGACAGAGAGGTCAAAGTCAACCTATGCTTGTACCTCCTCCAAGCCAATTGAATGGCCACAGCAGCCCAAGTTCTCCACCCTGGTGAGTAATACCTTGCACTTCTCTTCACCTTTTCCTTAACAAATGTGTACCTGAAATGTTGCGTCACGTACTTCACGTCATCGGCTTCAAGGCCAAAAGCCTCTGTGGTTTCCAATGTGATCAGTGTGGATGAAGATGGTGGAAGACGTTCTATGAAGGGTCTCCTCAAACACCATGAAAGAAGCTCGTCACCGCTGAAGTTTCCTGGCCCTAACATGCAGCAACTCTTCACACCATCCCTTAGAACTTGGCTGCTTTGAAGGTGACCCCTTACTACAAATAGCATTCTCTGAACTGGGTCTCCTTCTCTTGCTATCTGCATCATATATTAATCTAATCATCATGTAAAATTCAGGTATTAATCATTTCTATATAGTGGCCATGGAGATTATAACGTACTGTTTCTCCCTTTGTGAATATCAGAGACTTCACTCGGTCACAGATGTTCTCTAGAACCAGATCGTCCATGTGTTGAAATAGAGGCACCTGAATAAAATACAAAGATTAAAACTAACATAATTGACTTTTTATACTTATAAGTCATATGAATATAAGCGATTTCTTCACCTGTCTAACCAGGTCAAGACAAAGATGGTACTTGATGTCTCTTCTTAAACCCTCAGGGAGATTTCTAGTCATCTCGCATTCATCAACTCCTCTCATGGCAGCCCAACGCTGCCTCTCATAGTTACGCACACGCTGCCGAAACCCTTGCGGCAACCTTCGTTTCCTCATCCACCATTCAATATTCCTCATCTTCAGTTGCATTGCTTGCTTCTTTGACGTTGTTGCATGCAAAAATACCTGCCCCATTATAACATCAAAACAAGTTGCATCACCAAGTCAATGTAGATCTAAAATGAATGGGACTAGAAATTGGTAATGGTATTAGTTACCTTGATGTTCCCAATCAACATGGTGACAAGAAGAAGGCCACTGGTCAGCACAATGATGTTGAAAACTACTTCTAGCCATTCAGTTGTACTTTCTAGGTTTCCGAAGGTGCTTACCACATCAAAAAGATAGGGGTTAGATTTTGGAGTAAGAATGAAGCAACAATAACCATCAAATGGAAAATAATAATAACGATAATTGAATAAATAATCTTGCGCTTGAAATTCATATAAGGCTTATTATTTTGTATATTCTTTTTAACTTATTATTTTGCAAAATTTATCCATCAGCTCTTTTCGTATCATCTATCATCAAACTTTAATAAATGGGTAAAATGTACAAAAATTAGGTAGAAAATGTGTGAAAAATAATAAAATAATAATAATTAAATAGTAAAATGTAAAACTAAGCCAACATGCTATTATGTGCTTGAAGGGTACTAAATTCAAAGTTCATTGCATAATTTTGCCGTCAAGGTCATGAACATAAGAACAGTGGTTATTAGTAGAGAAAGAGAGAGAAAAGACTCAGAATATGGTTAACATAAAGAGGACAAATGAAAAGATGGTGAAAAGAATAGAAGACTTTAAGCATATGGAAAGTGAATAGGTAAGAAAAGGAAGGTACCTCAGAGTCATTAGGCCCCAGAAGATAGGGAAAAGTATCTTTTCCAAACGATTATCATTAGTGACAAGCTGAACTGTCCATTTATAAGCTCCATAGGTGTATTTGTCAGGGCCATTCAAGCATGTGTCCCACACTTCTCTGTTCTGTGCCCATGCCAACCTCGCTCTATCCCTTACCAAAAAATTGTTGCTTCCATAATAAACAGCGGTTTGACATGACACAATGCTCATGCCACAGCCACTTGTTTTTTCACACTGCACTTTCAAACACTTGGCAGCCCTTTGAATCCCAAGCAAATACCAACATGCCCCTGCTGCCTGTTCATGAACTGATACATGGTTAACTAGATAGAGAAAAATTCAATTCAGTTTTCACATTATATTTATTTGAGAAAGGGAGAACAAGCTTCAAATTTGATCAAAGTTTCACGTCCAACCACATAAAAATCCTACTATTGTGATATTTACAGTACGGTTTTGAACTATGAAAAAGATTGTGTAACTTTCTCCAAGTAGAAATATATAGGGTTTAATGATCTCATGATACACATTACTCCAATGTTTAACCCCTTCTTCTTCTTCTTTTTTTTAAGTTAGACAACTGCTATGAAAATAACACCAATTTCATTAGTGTTGACCATAACCATATATATACACGAACTCAAGTCTTCTTTGTTTTCCTAGTTAAATGATTTAGCACTTTTGTGTTTCAATTTGTTTAAAACAAATAATTGTTCACTTTGTTTTATCAATTATTTCAAAAATATAGTTTTTAGTTTGCATTTCTTTCAAATATGAAATGTTCTTAAACTATACAAAACAAGTTCAATTGTCGAATCCTAAGGCTGTTAGGAAGGTGGATATACTTAGAAATTCATTTAATTATATTAAACTCTTGTAAATAATCTTCACCCTAGTAAGTCATCATTTACACGTAAATCTGTTGCTGAATTGATTTAAAACGTAGATGATTAAACAGACTAGTATATCTTTGTCTTGTTTACCTTGTTATAATCGTAATTGCTAAACTTCAATAGATAATTACTTGGATGATACTTTTTGGAACAAAAACAAAAGTAATTTGTCCTCCTGGTAATATTATAAAATATGGTTGGTTTCACTATTCACTACATCACTGGAGAATCAGACAAGGGGAAAAAAACAAAAACTATATATACAAATTTTTCCACCACCACAAATCGGTATTCATTTGTCTCTTACCACTTTCTTCATTTGCAACGCCAGAAACAAGTCTCTCCTCACTTATATAAGCTTTACCCTATTTTCATCCTACCCTATTTGATCATGAAAATTAAAATCATTATGCAGTGTTACACATATATAAGACAAATTACCTTTTATTAGGTTAAATCATTCTTTTCTTCATACTTCGTTTAAACATAAAAGTGAGATTACCTTTTTGACAAAAATGTAAGATGTCTGTTGAAAAAGTGTTATTAGTTTCATTAAATAAAAGAGAAAAAAAAAAATCTAATCACTTTCCACAGCGTGAATCACGACCTACAATGATTGCTAAGTACAGTTTGAATTATTATATTCACGAATCTTTTGCCTGCCGTTGTTGTGGAACCTTTTAACAACAGACACCATTTAAGTTTTTTGACACTAACTGTGTTAGATAAGGTTTTTGACACTAATCATAACATTTTTCTTATATTATTAATCCAAATTTTTGGACATAGGTAGAGGATAAGTTGATGATGGTTGATTTCATCTATAAATGCATGGATGAAAAGAAAGGAATGACTTACATGGGAAGCAACAAAATAAGCGATCATGTTAAGGGCGATTCCCCACCAAACTGTTCCAAAAATGTAGCCAGAGAGGTTTTGCGTGCGTCGCAGATGGCAAACAGAATGATAAATTTTGGGAAGGTATTGGAAGAGAAATATGATCAAGAACACTGTCATCACCAACGTCACTGAACCTTTCTCCAACAACGACGGAATTGCCACCCACAGCACAATCTGAAAATCCAATAAATAACTTTTCATCACATCAATACTACTCTAAGTACCATATATATATATATATATATATATATATGGCCACCTTCATCCAACTCCTGCATCTAAACATTCAATAATGAACAAAAGCCAGATGACATAATATGTACCATTTATTACTTAGATGTAAATATTTACAACCTCGAATCAATTGTTACAAACAAAAACATGCAATAATCATGTATAGATATTCTAGGGGACCATCATACTGTAAGAAATTCTAATCAGACAAAGAACCACGTTGGCTGTATCTAAATTTGTGGCTCGTACTGCTTCATGTAACAGACTGTAACATGTTTTCATCCTTTTTTTTCTTTTAAATATATAATAAATATACTTTCAAACAGCAACCATTGCATGCTATGTAGATCATCACATCACACAAGTGCCGTGCTTTATCTTCCAAGAATAATGACAAATCACTCTTCAAATTTTTCTTCAGTACAATGCAAACAACAAAAAAGGAAAATGAAAACACAGTCACACAAACAAACCTATCGACATTTTTTTGGTTGATTTCTGCTGCAGCACGTGCTTATGCTCATGCAGTGTTCCTTGTTAGGTAGGTTGATCAAACACTATTTTTATTTTCATTGTTATGATCCATTAGTTTTCATAAAAGGTTATATGGGTATAAACACATCAAAAATCAAATATTTATAATGAATTAGGTCAAATTCACACTCTAAAATAATAAAAATATAAAATTAGAACATTAAATAATGTATTGCTTTTTAAGCTATGAAAGTACTTACCTCTAATACAAATTTCAGAAATGTATCTAAATATGACTCTCTTTAGTTTTTTTTTTTCATTAGTAAAAATGGAAAAAGACTTGGAATCAAATTTTCTCATCAGAGAAATTTAGTAACTTAAGAGACAATGAATCATGAAAATCATTCTGAAGCAAAGTAAAAATAATCATTTATAAATTAATCATTGTATATCTATATGAATGGATAATCAAATATATACAAATTAAAATGACAGAGTAAGACATGAAGAATGCAGTTAAAGTATTCTGATTTTTGTTATTTTCCTAATTATATTTTGGATGTTTTATTTGAAAATGTAATATAATTCTTTTAAGTTTTCCAACCTATTCCTTTAATATATTCATCTTGAATTTAACTGCCTTGATAAGAATTTTGGAAGAACTTGCATGTAATTTGTTAGTTTTACCTTTCAAAATTATTAATTGCGTATAAAATACATTAAATGATGTTCGGATAATACTTATAAACAACGCATGACAAATGATGACAAAGTTTCATAGATGCAAAGGAGGAACATGAGACACAGAATATTGTTCCTACCAACAAAGTCCATGCAAATTTATACACTCACATTATCGCATACACCTGTCACATTCTCTTCAATGCCCACTAATATAAAAATACCAAACAACGAACTTTCTCTTCTCCAATCAATTTTTTATGCAAAAACAAAAACGCTTTTCGCCAAAATACTACTCAGAAAATGACAAAACTCATAATTAACAACATGACAATATTATTATGATCTTTATCTTTTACTTCGTTTTACACCTCTATCTAAATATTTACATAAAATAACTATCATTTTAATGTTATACGATGATAAGATATATTTCATTCATTATATAATAATTTTCATATATATATATATATATATATATATATATATATATTGATATATTTGTATTTTATATAAAATGAAATAAAAAAAATTTTAATTTCCCCTCTAGCTAACATAATCATCTCATATAATTTAACAATATAAAAACAGTTCAAGTTTAGGAGAGTGTGGATATTTATGAAATATAATTTAAAAATTACAAATGGTAGCAAACAATTTAAGGAGTTATTTTGTTTATATAACATTTTCTTATTAGATTTGTTTCTACCGTTCATAAATAGTAACACGCGTCTCATCAATTTTTATGTTTTCGTAGAAATTAAGGTAATTAGCATAAAATGATTACCTGTGGCAGAGGAAGAATGACGAACAAATCAAAAACGAATCCGGTCCGTGACTTGAGATATCCTAGCGCGACGGAGCGCGGCCGGGTGTCTCTGAGTCCGGCGGAAGACGCGGCGGCGCCCAACCCGAACGTGCGTTTGGCCATCTTCATTCTGAGCACCATGTTCCACAGGTGAAGCGCGTCCGTCATGCACCGCAGCACAGTCACGGTAACGGCGAGCCACCCGTCCACGAACACGCACATGCACGAGGCGCTAACGGAGAGCGCGTAGAAGAACAGAGGGTCCACGAACAACCCCGCAGCGCACACTAGCAGGAATACTCTGTTCCATTCCTGGACCCACCTCGCCCTCGGGTCCAACACCCTCCCCAACGCGCCTCCCCCGCTCCCTCGTGTCCCTTCGCACGCCGCCGACCAAAAACACCCCACACCTCCGGAGTCGTTCTCGTTGCCTTCTACATGCTCCTCCTCCTCCTCCTCGGAGGTGGTGGTGGTGGTGTAGTCTAACACGTGCGAGACCCGTGATAAGGACTCTTGCTCTGTTACAGTGGTAGCCATAGTGGTGGAGAGAAAGATTAAAAGAAAGAAATTGAAATTGAAATTTTAATTTTCTTTTCTTTTTTGGTGGGAGGGTTTTGGTTATGAGGAAGAATTATTGGACTGGGATTTTCGTTTGAAATTTTCTGACACACACAGAAGAGAGAAGAAAGAAGAGAAGTAAGAAGTGAAGTTGGTTTCTCTATAGTATGATAACCATGCTTGTTTGGTTGTTCATAAGAGACCCACATATTGTAGGATGATAACGTGGAGATATATGATTATGTATTTGAATGTACCACACAAAAATTTGTCCTTGCCGTATCAATTTTTTTCTAAGTTGTGTGTTTGGACACCAATAATTGAGAAAATATTTTTCAATTTTATCATAATAATAATAATTCATCTTATAGAAGGTCATTTTGTTAGTGTGTTTCATTAAATACAATGTTTGATATAATTGAATATTTAGATTCAAATGCTAGTCATTTTACAAAGACTTATCCACGTCGCCTTGAGCTTGTTGATTACTAATAATTGCTCTAATTTATTTAATGCTGTTTGTTAAAAAAAAAAACTTTCATTAAAAATACATATATTCCTTTAATTTGGAGTGTAATTGGGTAAATTAAAAAAAAAAAAAACTAACTTAAACCAATCCATTTTAATTACATTAGTTTGCATATGATGACATTCTAATTGATCACAATATTGATACTTTTAAAAATAAAAAGTTGAAGATTTTTCAAGGCACACTAGTGCAGAAAACACTTTTAACATCGGTTAAAATCAGCTTTCTACATCGGTTCTAAAACCGATGTAGATACAACCGATGTAGAAAGTTGGTGAGTTTTAACATCGGTTAAGAACCGATGTAGAAAGTCTGACTTTCCACATCGGTTCTAGGCCTTAACCGATGTAGAAAGTCTGACTTTCCACATCGGTTATAGCCTAGAACCGATGTGGAAAGTCAGACTTTCTACATCGGTTCTGGCCTAGAACCGATGTGGAAAGTCAGACTTTCTACATCGGTTAAGGCCTAGAACCGATGTGGAAAGTATTAAAAATCACTTTCTACATCGGTTATGGCCATAACCGATGTGGAAAGTCATATTTTTTTTTAAATTCGAATTTTAGTTTTGAATTTTCCAGAACCTGTACAGCATTTTAAATAGTTACAGCTACTCAGAATGTTAATCTATATATAGAGGACATGCATTAACACACAAGTAAACATAATGTATATTGTATATCTACATTGTATTGTATCAACAAACAATAAACATGTATTGTATTCTAAGTTTTATATATACAAAGAAACTAGCAGTCCTAATGTTTCACAATTAAATTCAATCACTACTATAGTTCTTAATAACAAAATCTGCCCAAATTCGTCTAATGTCATCAATCTCTCGATTCCCTTATTGGATGACCATCATCGAATATCTACAAACAAAAAAAAACATTTCAGAAAAGCGAAGTAGGCAAATATATGTCAATGACATAGATATAGTCATAACACATACCAAATTCCATGAATCTCGTGATATTTGTCGTGATGATTGTTAACATATGTCTCATCACATAATATCCGCACTCCCAACTTCCTTTTTGCTTATTACACTATAAGAAAAAATAAAACATTAAATACAAAAAATGAGTAAATTAAAGTTAAGAATTTGAAAGATAATGTCCTTACACGTGGAAGTATCCATGTGGGTTTCTTTTTAGGCTTACCCTCCATGACTCGAGTATGCTTCTATACACCTATAAAAGATTAAATGGAAAATACTTCATATTAAGACATGTGGAACTTAAAATGAAATGAATGAAATATTATACAAGGGTGTTAGTATACTTACACATCAATAATCTGTTTAATTTCCTTTTTGGGTTTATTCCATAAAGAGCATAAAAAAATAGTCTCATTACGTTTAGGACAAAGGATAAACAATTGCCGATGAGACCTACAAAAAATGTCGCTCAATTAGCAATTCTTAAGAGATTCAAAGTTTGAAAGTAAGTAATTTAAAAAAACTTACCCATAATGATATGGTGCGAGATAAACTTCCTTTGATCCTTCACAAAATCTCTTTTGAATGTATGCTTGAATAGTATTTGGTTTGTTCCCCAAACTCGAATGTGGACAGGATCAATGAATCCATAGACATCTTCTACTCCCTTTTCCACAACAACTTTGCTTGAGGTAACTAGAAATTGAAAATATCATGTTAGTTGCATTTTAGACAAGTTGGTGTCTAATAGGGCATACAACCAATTGACTTAAATAAAAACATAAGACTTACATTAACCAGACTTGGAGAATTGTGACGCAAATCATGTCTTCACTCAAAACAACATCCATAATGTCCTTCCGACTCAAGTACAACGTGATGTGCTGCGATTCCCAATCACATGAGGGTCCATCTCGGATCTGTAAAGGTATATGCTTTCCTAGCCTATAAGCTAAGAGGCATAACCTTTGTATCGGATCTCGAGTCCAGTTCCTCTTGAACTTTCTCCTTCCCCTTCTCCTTTCCTTTCTGCTGGGCACAAATGTCCTATACACATCAAGGAATTAAATTAAAATTTATGATAAAATAATAAAATTATAAACATGTATCAAATTATTAAAGAAATCATATAATACCCGATCGGTAGGAAACTGGATAAGTGCTCTAGGCCACCGAATGAAATGACCGGGAGCCTCCCCACTGTTCTAACCTCGTCGGACGGAACAGGAACAGGAGCTTCAGAAACTTCCACCCGTTCAACCACAACACGAACAACGGAATCCGTCATTTGTACCCCGTGTATAAGTGGCCCCAATGTATGCACAGTACCATAAGCCACTAGTAAGCCTTCCTGTGTGAAGAACTTGCATAGAGGCCTAGGAGTGTCTTCACCAAGTGGAGTTGACTCATCATCATGAACGTCAACCCGTGCACAACTCCCTTTGGTGCTAGCACGTTCCTCGTGGCGAGAAGGTACGGAACACATTGTTGACCTCCTCCTGTGTTCCCCGAGATAAGCCTAAGGAGACAAGTTCCTCGCCTTAGCTCCGCCCGAAGCTCTTCCCTAATTTGATCCCCGATGGTCCGCAACTCATCTCTAGTGACCACACTTTTGTGGAAGGTTTAGGAGTGCCAAAATATTGTCGGATGCCAATCCCCCATCCAGCTGCCCGCACACGACCTCGGATGCTCTGGTCGTCCAATAGCAAGTGGATAATATATCTTGTCGTCCACTAGGGGTAAAGGTCCCTTGTGAACTTTGCTCTAATAATTCATCCTACAAAGAAAATGTAATTGATTAGAGAAGACACAATATATAATTCTATCTCATTTTGAACAATTTTTTAAATAACTACTTACAATTTTCTCGTCCCACAACACGACTCTCATCTCGTAGTATAGTCACCTTTCTTGCTCTGTCGTGCCTTCTTCCACTTCTCATGACGAGAAGGAGGTGATGGAGGTGAAGTCACACCTGAGGGGTCACTTTGAGAGGCTTCTTTAGAAGCTTTACGCTTCTCTTCTATCGACTTCCTCTCAAGTAGCTGGTAACCCCTCGGGATAGCCTCGTGAGGATATACATTTTTTTGTTGAATTATTTTTGTCTTTTGTCGTTTCTCCTAATAAAGATACATTCAAAGAAAGGTCGATTAAAAAACTGCTGTTACAAGCAGTTTTGTGCGAGTTAAAAGCAGGGTAAGGTGCTGTTAAAAGCAGGCAAGTTAAAAGCAGGCAAGTTAAAGCACACGAACCTTAAAAGAAGGATCCATACGGCTCTCAACAAACTTATCCCATGTCTCAGTGTCTAGAAAGGAATATTGCTCACAAGGAGACTTTCCTTTCTTGCTTCCAAACACGTACGTGGAAGTCAATTGGGTCTTGAAGGCCCTCCAACGCTCACCAGCGAATGATATCCATTTCCTCCTTAGCCCTTCAGTATTCGGAACATTATAAGTGAGCTACAAAAAATAATACAAGGTCAGTGAATCCTACAAGAATTAACAATACAAGTAAATTTAGTAGAAAAATTTCGTACCAAGATGCTTTGCCAAATTTGTTCCTTCACACGCATCTCCACATCATCCCAATCCTTCTTTATTATGCTCACTTTGCTGCGGCCCAGAAGTGCAACATAACTTCTAAACTTTGTTGCGTGAGGCCCAATAGCATTTCCGGTCGAGTCATCAAACTCAATCGGTAACCTCTCATCAGCATTTTGACTTAGTGTCAACTGACTAAGTCGTGTTGCACGTCTCCCCTTCTTCGCGGACCTACTAGAATCGGCCATATTCCTGCCAAATAAGACAAATAAATGAGTTAGAATACAAAGTAACTAATACAAAGACATGCAAAGTAAGTAACAGTGTAAAAACCATAATATACCTATTGTTTAACAATTTTCCCATATTCCTTCTTCATGATCAAATCGGGTGGCATATACATCATCTTCTTCATTGTCATAATTAGAAGGTAAAAAGTGTGATGCTGAAGATGGACTAGTAAACTGTTGAAGTTGTAAATCTTCAAGGTCATCACTACCGGACATGGGTTTCCCTTGAAGCATTATTGACCAACTACTATTAACTGGATCGGAGATATAAAAGACTTGTTTTGCTTGAGTTGCCATAATAAAAGGTTCGTCTTTATAGCTAAGCTTATTCAGGTTAACCAATGTAAACCCTAATTCATCCACCAAAACACCATTGTTACCTGTCAACCCAATTGCACTTGAATACAAGCAATTCTAAATTTGGTGTAGTCAACCTCCCAAATTTCTTGAATTACTCCATAATAAGAAAGGGATGCCATTACAGGAGAATTATCTTTTGAAGTAGCAAAGTGCATTGATTCAAGCAACTACCATCACACCACCGTTTTGCATTGTACTCTTTTCATCTTGAAGCTTAGTATAAAAGGAATAACCGTTTACATCATATCCACTCCATGTTATGACATCAAAGTTTGGGCCATGAGCTAACCATTTCAAAGTTTCAGATGCATCATCAA